GGGTGGTCTGGATTCAGACGCATTCCATTTAAATTTTTGTGTAAAATTTTGAGGAGCCGGGATAGCTCAGTCGGTATCGCGACTGGCTACGAGCTAGAGAATGGAGGAGCTGGAGTTCCAGTCCCGGTGGGGCAAGAATTTTCACTTCTCCATGTCGTCCAGACCGGCTCTCGGGGATCATCCAATGGTTACCGGGGGCTCTTTCCTCGGAGGTAAAGCGACCGGGGTGTGAAACTGACCACTCGCGTCCAACTAGTGCCGAGGTCAAGACAATATTAATCTATATATCAAATCCCCATATGCCTTCATGGCGTAGTGATTATATTATTTAAGCATAGAGATAACTTTACCTTTTTTTTACCTTACGTGTAAAAATTTGATTAACTTCAATAAGAACAATTTCGGCCTGTTTATAGCGTGAATATTTTTCATATTTCCTACTTCTTTTAACACAGAACTCGTCTCCGAGCAACCACTTTTACTGTCAGCTTTCTACTCGTGACCGAAAAGCGTGTCATTTGTTTCTCATTTATAAAACGCAACGAGTCCGTTAATTTGTACTCGTATTATAATGCACATTATAAATAATTACATAAATGTGTAAATGTTATAAGAGGGTTATAAGAAAATGATTGTTGCATGAAGAGGCGTAAGAATGACAAAACCAAAAAATTTGTATACCTACAGAATATAATAGTAGCATGAAGCTGGTTGGTTATTTAACGACGCTATCATTAAGAGGGAAAAATATCCCCGCGCTTAATCATGAAATTAAGCCCTATGTCATGAAGGCTTATGAGGGAGTGGTTGTATAGCTCCACCATTCTTGACCTCGGCATTAGATAGAGGTGAGTGGTCAGCTTTACGCCACGGCCACTTTACCCCCCGGAGATAGAGCCTGCGTTACCAATTAGATAGGAGGCTGGGTACGCACCAGAGCATCTCTGACGATATGGAGGGGAGGCAAATCTGTTTGGCCTGCCAGAAACTGAACCTCATTCCTCTGGCCTGTAGTCTAGTGCCAAACTGATTGCTGCAGCACCAAGATTATATAGTGTCAATGCTAGGATGAGTAATGAATGTTGATCAATTCCATCTATATATTCATCAACATACCTACCAATCTACCTACCTCCTTAAGTAACCCCCCACACCCACACCCACCCACACCTACATTTCTNTATCTATCTATCTATCTATCTATCTATCTATCTATCTATCTATCTATCTATCTATCTATCTATCTATCTATCTATCTATCTATCTATTCCTGTTGCTCCCACTTGGAGCACAGGGCATCCGTGAAACACATTGTTTTCCTTCAGTTTCTTAATTATAGAGAGTCGGTAGGACTCCTTGGACCGGGGATCAGCCCGATGCAAGACCGCTACTTACACAAGACAACATAAACACAGAATAAATGCAGACAATCATCCGTGCCTTGAGTGGGATTCGAACTCACAATCCCAATATTGGAGCTGGAGAAGACATTTCATTCATCAAACCGCGCGGCCACTGTGATCGGCGTGGATCAATTAGTGGAACGGTAATTGATGGGGAAAGCTAAAGTGGTGGGAGAAATCCTGTCCCAGATCCAATTTGTCTACTGTGTATCTCACATAGCCTGATGTGGGATCGAACCCGAGGCGCCATGGTGAGAAGCAGGAGAATAGTTGCATGAAGGGACAAAAGGACTTCGGAAACAATTATCTGTATACGTAGAATATCAGGACAATTGCTTGCAGAGAGAGAAGAGTTTTGTGTCAGCATCAGATTGTGTGACCGCTTCAGTCTCGGGGAAATTACCGCGGCGCTCGTTGGATGCTGGCTGCGCACGTCCTACAGACAGCCTGGGCGTATTCGTAACGAGAAACTCCTGTTCTTTTAATAATTAATAGACCATTCGACATAAAAATTATCAAGGGGGGGGACCCAGATCATGGGCTTCTTGATTATTACTTGGTGGACACCAGCGTTTAAGAGGAAGATAATGACTCCATCTTCAGTGTATAGTATTGAGTTCAAAATTAATTAAATGCGGAAATACGCGCCTATACATATATTTAACATTATATGATGAGACTTTTTAACTGAAAGTGTACAGTAGTTTTGACTGAAACTTCTGGTGATTAGCAACACTGTAAAGGTAAAATTCAAACGGCATTTTTGGTTGAGATTTGAGGTTCTGCTGAAGGTGAGCATGTAGATAACTGTCTTCTTAGTGTGTGATGTCATGCAGCTCTCTCAATAGCTTCCTCCGAAAAGTTAGCAACTAAAGACATCTCACGCTAGAAGACAATAAACGTAATTTTGGTTCAAATATTATGTTTCTGAACTTTACCCATCGTCCTGCTATTATCTAAAACACCGTCCTCTTTTTATTTAAAAACATTTCGGAAACTGTAATCTGTCTCCGTCTTCAGGTAAACCCTACTATGTTGGGCCCAATCAATATAGCTACTTCCTAGTTTTTTTTCCTTGGCACTACAGCCCCAGTGGGCCTAGGCCTACCTCCATGAAATTCTCCGTTCACTTCAGATTTTCTAGATCTTACTCATTCGGTAGGACTCCTTGGGCGGGTGATCAGCTCGTCGCAAGGCCTCTACCTGTACACAAACACAGAAAATCGCGCACAAACATTAATGCCCTGAGTGGGATTCGAACCCACGATCCCGGTTTCCGAGCGAACGAAGACAGTGCACGCCTTAGACCGCTCGGCTATCGTGACCGGCAGCTACTCCCTAGTACTCTCAGAATATTCTGATAATTCTCTGGTGCAATGCTTCATACATATGGAGTTCTTAATATTTCACTACCTTTCTTAGCTCTCGCAGATGGTTTGTGCTGTGCTTCGCTTGTATAGCGTATCTGGTGTCGGTACAAGTACCTGGCACTCACGTTTGCTGTATAAGTTATTAAAATTGGAATTCTCGAACAGTTTGACCAAACTTCTTGGGTCCTTTCTTTCTAAACGTAAATTCAGGGTCTAGGTTGAAGGCGAAATATCAACCCCAAGGGAAATGCAAGCAGGGGTGCCACAAGGTTCGGTTCTTTCCCCTACTCTTTTTAATTTGTATATAAATGCTGCCCCGCAAACACATGGGGTTCACCTGGCCCTCTTTGCGGACGACACCTGTCTCTATTGTTAGAAATCTGCAGCGCGGTCTCAGCTTAATGGAGACCTGGTGTGAGCGCTGGAATATAAAATTTAATGAAGATAAGACTCGGAGGGTCTACTTCTCTCGTAGTCGTCGACCGCCTGAGTCTTGTCTTACTCTTAATGGAAGAAATGTTCCATTTGTAAATAGTGCAAAATATCTAGGTGTAATCTTCGATAAGAGAGTGACAAGGAGTTTACACATAGAAATGATCGAAGCCAAGGCCTTCAGAACATTCATTAGAGTATATTCCATATTCAAAACTGAGCGATTGAGCGCTATCATTAAACTGACCCTCCATAAAGCTCTCATTAAATCTGTAATGACTTACACTAGTCCCGCCTGGGAGTTTGCGGCAGACACTCATCTAGTGAAATTGCAGCGCCTGCAAAACAAGGTTCTCCCCACCACTAACAATTTTCCAAGGTGCACACCGGTCCGCGATTAGCACATGGCTTTCAAAATCCCATATGTATATGATTATATAACAAAATTATGCAGGCAGCAAGCAGAAGTCATACAAAATCATGATAACGAAAATGTTCCCAATATTGGTCAAGGCGAAACCCGACATAGAGAGTATAAGAGGCTTAAACTTGGCGCCGTTCAAGTGACTAGACTGCCGTGGTAGCGAATACTACTAGAAATAGGGCATAATCTGCTGTACTGAGCCTGGACTGACAGAGGCCTTCTACTTCTATGTACTATAGAAGTAGAAGTTAAGGCTAAAATTAAATTGTAAATATATGTAAATACTGACAATGGACTGACTATGACTGACAAATGACAGACCAGACCTCTCGTCAGAGAGGGCGCCCCAAATGGACAGGACCGCTACTTCCACAAACAAGAAAACATCTGGTCATGAGCCCCAGCTGGGGCTCGACACCAAGACAGACAGACTGACTGACTGTCAGCTGCAAAATGACTTTGACTTTGGTACAGGTGACCGGAGACAGGGACTACTTCTATCGACTGGGCCAAACTGAGTAGGTTTTCCCTGAAGACTGAGATAGAATCCAGTCTCATAAAATTTGCGTTTTTAAATAAAAACAAAGCGATGTTTTAGATAAAAGCAGTAAGATGGATAATGCCCAGAAACATAATATTTGTACCAACGTACCATCGTCAAAAGTTCCTAGATCATAAGTTTGGTTGGTCTAAATATTTTCCCTTAGATCAGACCAAGTTAGAACTGTTGGTATATGGGAAAATGTGAGATACGACAATGTAAGGGAGATGAACATGAAGAACAATCTTACTTCTATCAAAACACGTGGAGTAACATCCCCGAGACAGCCCCACTTCAAGTGGGCAATCACTTGGTGGGGTGGTGGCACTGCTGTACAGAGTGATATGTCCCTTTCTTCTCGGTATCGCTGGGTGTATTGGTGTACAAGTTGTGGCTGTCTTCACATCTCTCTCAGCGTTAACAATAAATTGTTGTATAAGCAGGCGGGGTTGCAACAGGTAGGGGAACACGGGTACAGCAGGTAGAAGTTTGGGTTAGGTCTTAAAATCGTATGTTTCTTAGGGAAGTCATTGTTATACTGCTGCACGCGATTATGTGGGAGAACAGCGGTTCCTAATTTCAAACTGAACAGCCGCAACTTTAGCGATTAGATTTTCAGCTTCGTATTCTCGACTTCGTCTCCAGTCGCGGATATTGTAAATTGGTTTCCTCAGAGTTTCCTCTACCCATTTAAGCTAATACTAGAAAATTATAAATCCATCCCAATTTCCACAACAACAGTGGCAGGAAATAAAATTATATAAACTGTATAAAAGATTCAGCAAAAGCATTTCGCTAAGCTTACTCGAGACATAAAGATCTCAACTTACCAACCAGTGCATTTCCTGCAGTATAAAAGCGTCCGGCTAGCCAGCCTATCCCAACGCTGGAGATGGAAGCGTGGCGGGTCAAAGGTCACCACTGGGGTGCAGCACCTCTCCACTCCTCGCTCATCCTATTCTTTACCACCAACAGATCTGAAACAGACAAACAGAGAGACATGTACAAACTCATAGATAATAAATAGACAAAGAAGTGTAGCTCAAAGACGGTTGGTTTAAACCTTCAGAAACCGGCAATGATAGCAGGGATTTTGGTTCTAACTTCGGCGGTTGGCTGTCAGACCACGTACATAGCGCGCGATCAATCACAGGGAATGATGACGCAGGTGAATTCCATTCTTTCACAGATTGTAACCAATTCAGAAATAGGGAAATCTAGTGTTTATGGAAAACGCTACCTCAGTTAATAATCTCGGTATATGCAATGTTTCAGAGACCTCCAGTAATGCTTGTACCGACGGCATATTCCCAAGAAACGTATTTTAGTTCAGATTTCTGGATAATAATCTCTGGGGCGTGCTGTAGCGTAGTTGGTTGAAGCACTATTCTTCTGTTCGTCTGTCACTTATCTGCTGTTTTGTATGGATGTGAAATGAGGTTTCTCACACTAAGAGATCGTAGAGAACAGGGCGTCGATGAGCATATTTGGATTTACGGCTGAGGAAATGGGAAGAGGCTACAGAATTATGCACAATGAGGAACTTCGTATTTCACACTGTTCACTAAGATTCACGAGGGCGGTCAAACGAAGAAAGATTACATGAGTGGGACATGTAGAAATCAAGGGATAGAGTGGAAATTGATAAAAAATTTTGTCGGAACATTTAAAAGGAAGAAACTATTTGAGAGACATAGGCGTAGATGAAAATATTATTAAGGTGGATCATAAAGGAATTGATATGAGGCCGTGGATTGGATTCATTTGGCTCAGGACGGAAATCACTGACAGATTCTTGTGTAAATAGCAGTGAAGTTTAAGGTTCCATAAGTTGCTGTGAAATTCTTGACTACATTAACGATCATTACGTTCTCAAAAAGTGCCCTTCTACATGGAGTTAATCATTTAGACCTATAATAAAATTTGGTATGCTTTACTCTACTAGGCTCATACATAATTTGCCCTGTTAGTCTATTTTCTTTAATTAAAAATACAAATAGGCTTATGATATCTCTGTGTCTGAATCTCCCCCCCCCCCCCTATCAACTTCCGAATGCCTGAACCAGTTTTTATAAAATTTGGTATGTATATTGTGGCGACCGAGCCTATCTCAAAGGTGTACTTCATAAATCCCTCCCATCAGTCTGTCCGTCCGTCAAGACCCTTGAGGTTCATAAACATATTTTTTGTTTGCAAACTCTGCAAAGGCGTTCCCGAAGCAGAGAAGAATTATTGGAGAAGTTGTTTTCTGTGCAGTCCGCATACTATAAATATGTATACGATTAGTTCTTCTCAAATCTTGTCTTATAACGTAGTTTATTTTCGGCAATTACCCAGACATTTGTCCCATCTGTTATAAAGAAAAACAGATATCCGGATTTGATAGGCGGACCTTCAGGAACCGTAGTGACGGTGACCATCTCTGTATGCGTGACCGTGAAGGGGGTCGTTAGCTAATTCCATGTCCCAGTAGGGGGTTCACATTATTACACCCCCAGTATGCACCATCACGCTGTCATCTATCTATCAAATCAAACGGCGACTCCCTGCAGGGCTCCCTCCACTCAGCAAGGTGCAACCCGTAACACGTGCTGGCTGTCACCCCGTCTCAAAGTGTCATCCCAGATCAGACCTTCATTAACCAACTTTTGTTCCACATTTTCCTGAAGCAATGATCTACCACAGCCTTCCTCCATCTCCGCGTACGTCGCTTTCCCTTTTCGACACTTGTGGCGTAGAGACCCGTTGCTAAGCGGTGACACTGCAAACAACGACCACTGCTACGCAACGGTGCGGTAAACACGCCTATACAACAATAGAATAACTGTGTTTTCTATATGGCCAGTGCCGAGAAATCAAAAGCGAGACGAGGTTTAGAGCTTAGTCAGTTAATAGTCAGTTCCTTAAGAGAGGACTTGAGCCCGGAGGCAGAGGAAAATCTATTGTTGAAACCGTTACCAGGTAACGCCTGGTAAGAGACTAAGAACACTAGATTGTGTGCTCCAGTGAACTGTATAGTGTAGAAATAGCGATAGTGGTACAGTTGTTTGTAGTTACGACCTGCAAGTGGTCAATAAATCTATGCACCAATCCAGACGCAACCTATAGTCACCCGAACATATGACAGCATGAATTTTATTTGGATTAGTTCACTCAGTTGCTAAATTATAATAGCAGATCTGTCTTCTTTTTCATACAGTAAAATTCGTCTATAACGGAACGAGAATGAAAATAAAATTCTACCGGTTCTCACGGTCTCTTTGCTTGCAGATTTCTTATATATTTTTTCTTCTACCCTGAAGATGGAGGCGATACGTTCCTCCGAAACGTCGGTTAACACCACATATACACGGTGCTTTCTTCAAAATATTTCTGTGTCGGAAATTTATTTGGTCTCGAGAGTACAAAAAATTTATGCACGAGTAAAATCATGTCTATCAGAAAACGCCTAAAGCAAAAATAGTAACAAAGAAAGAAGGTTGTTGAATAATTATTGTTATCTGTATATTTAGTTTTGTTTCCTGCTAGGCTTTTTGGAATTCATCTGAGGATCGGGATCAATGTCACAACTGGGAAACAAAATAAAATAAAATATGTATAGGCTGTGTAGGATTTTAGGTTCTCACACCGGTGGTTATGAAGTGTCTATCTTCTGGGATACAACGCAGTCTAGTCCGTTGAAAGTCCACTGACGTTTCAGAGGAATATTTTGCCGCCATCTTCAGAGTTGAAAAGTAAGCCAAGGAAGGATCAGCAAGAAACAGGCAGGACGCAAAATAAACCCGTTAAATGCCTTCAGAAAGTCTTCGCTAGCAATAATAAAAACAGATACATTTTAATTTACTCTTACACTGCATTAGACATATCATCAATATAAAATATTCACTGCGGATTTAATCTGATTGATCGGCCCTATTCAACGATTATTTTACATGCTTCTTCTGTCTGATAGTCTAGTATCTATTCCAGACAGTTTTTATGGTTGACTTTCTTTACAATTCTCGTATGTTCGGATTTCTCAATTAATAATATTTCCATATACAGATAAGTAATGTAATGGTCAGATGAGAAATGTGAAACTACGTAATTTCGGCTGACTATAGTAACGAATTCCTTATCAGAGTGGCCGCGCGGTCTAAGGAATGAACTGCCTTTGCTCGCTTGAAACGCTGGGATCGTGGGTTCGAATCCCAGTCGAGGCATGGATGTCTGTACTGTGTGCGTTAATTCTGAGTGTAGGTAGCGTCCTTGTGACGGGCTTATCACCCGTTCAATGAATCCTACCGACTGCGTATATGATCAAGAAACTGAAAAAGCGGCCAAGGTCCATCAAAAGGCTGTAGAACCATAATAATAATATTAAGGAATTATAGAGTGTTAACACGTTGCATGGAAATATGTTATGTAAAAGGTCACAAATGCTCGAACGGTGTTTTGATACAGAGTATCGATTTTTTTCTGTGACGTAGATATGTGAAGTGTAGAATACTGTATATAAGAGACGGTTTACGACTGAGTATTTGTGCGTATTACTCGTGGCAGATGGCGTCAATCACAAACCTTGACGTGTATTTGATAACACGTAAAGCGAAAAGGAATGCAGGATAAATAAAGTGAAGTTCGTAGTCTTGAAGGTTACATCAGAGAGATCAGACTTCCTACTGAATTGTCAACCCGATTTACTTTTTCCTCCACTAACACCATCTCATAATTCTGTTCACTAAGCGCACTACCAACAGTGATGATGATGTAAGGTAAATGAAAAGCTATCATTGTAACAGGCCGTGGAAGCCCATAGGGTTGTGAGCCATCGAGGCTCCAAATTTTCTCTAGACAATCGGCTCACAGATGGCGGTGAGGTTGTCAGCCTTAAGCGCCGGCAGCCTTTTACCCTCCAGGAAGCTTCTATTAGAAGCTGAGTTGACCCTAGTGCGGCTGAAAAGTTTAGGTCAATTGAAGAATCCAGTGACCTCATTGGGATTCAAGCCCGCGCCCTTCCGGCTTGTAGCATAGTGCCTCAACCAATTACGCTACCGCGTGCCCCATTGTGGCATTTATAGCAACATTCTTATATTAGAAACTATCAACAATATCAATAAGTGAAATGTTTATATTGTGAGACATATAAATTATTGATATCTCTTGGACACGATATTGATTCACACATAGTTTAAAAGAATTCAGCGAATTTGAAACCTCATTTTCATTTTCTTCTAATAATAATGTAATCTGAAGAAAGCAGTTTTCTGCGATTTGGCACCGTGTATATGTGGTGTTAACCGACGTTTCAGAGGAACGTATTGCCTCCATCTTCAGGGTAGAAGAAAAATATAAGA